TATCCATTTAAAAAAAACGTGAATATTGTAACAAACACTGAAAACCAGTTGCTAATTCTTGGTGACATATTTGATGAAAAGTTGAAGAAAATGATCTTGTGATTCTTCCTCGGCTAAAGAAAGGATTATATATAATAAACTGCTCTTGTATCTTTACTTGTACGTTTGAATGCATGCGGAAACTCACGTGTACATATAGTCATCAAAAACTTGACGAAAGGTAATCGACGGTGACAAATCTGTTCCCAAGATCGCTTTCAACATATCTATCAATATTTCAGTGAGGAATATCAATGGTTTTGAATAATTTGTTTTAGAATTGACTACGAGTAATCGAAGGTGGAGCACCTGAATATAATAATTTAGGCGATTGATAATGGTTTTCAAAATGAATAGAATGAATTCAGTCGAGGATCAAGCGAGTCGTAGCGATGAACGTTACTTATTGTCAATTAATTGCAGCGTGCATCATCAAGATCCACCAGTCGAACACGCATTTCCTTTATCTTTTGCCACTCTTCAATCTGTTTCAGCTACAAACCATATAAGTTCCTTGTTACTAATGCTCGTATGACACTCTAAGAATTCTGGCAACAGGATCTTACTCGAACATTGTTACTGAACAAAAGAATTGCTGAATGGCGAAAAAAGAATTTGAGATCAGCATTACTCTACAGTATCGATGCCCGTGATTTTAGAATTTCACAGAATTTCGAAGACAGTAGTTTTTCCTTCGATGGAACGGTAGCCTCATACTTTCTTGAAACAGTCCTCGACAGAAATTGATATATGCTCACCAAGTTAGTCACAATAGCTTTGTAAATATACGCTTGAATCATGTTTGTAGCTTTATTAAAAAAAATAAGATGAAGATAGTATTTTGTCTTCTTTTGATGTGCACGATTCAAGTCAGTAGTGTATCAGTAAGAAACACGATATATTTCGTATTTTATTGACTCTCTCACACTTCCTTCGGTGCGCTTACGACACCTGTAATAAAAAAAACAATGGTTTTTCTGTCTCAGGTGTCATACTTACTTTACTTGCGGGTTGTGTCCCGTACAGATAAGAAGATCTTTGGGTTTTATTAGTAGAAGATGATAATTTCTATTTATTTATTTTTTACCCACTCGTTATCACCTTCAAAATACTGAAGAAAATGGAAAATATTAAAATCGAGTAACATTAAATCCCTTGTTTGTCTTCAGCGATACATAGTATATTTTTTCGCTTAGAAGCAACCTTTTATATTTAAACACAATTTCTTTATACACGGAAAACCAATTTAAAAAGGTTCACTTATGATTGCTCTAGTCGACTTTATTGTCCTTATTCATAAAAAGTGACCTTTTGTCAACTCTTGTCGCACTGAAAACTTTCCAATCTTGGAAATGTTCGTTTTACTCCTCTGGGTTCAAGCACTCAACTACTCCTTACGATAACGATAATTAAATCTCAATTCCTCATTCTTTGCTTTCTTTCTGTTTAGTTTCCGAAACAAACAGGTAAACTTGATTATGTCGTGCTCGTCCGACAGCAAACAGTCTCCTGTCACAGAAAATTCAACTGATCTCGAAACAACCGATGTGGAAGATGAATCCGAGAGTCTGGACATGCTTCCGACTGTTCTGAAGATAACAGAAATTTTTCTTCTTACTCACAAAGAATTTTCAACTCTGGTGGATCAATTCAATCAACTCTTGGAACCCTTTACCAAAGATGAACCATATTCGTTACGATTCACTATAGTACCGGAAACTGACACAAGCTTCTTTTGGAAAGTTATGACACGAATTCAATGTCAACGAGTAGGTCATCCTAACTGTCTTCTATTGTTTGATTTAAACTTTCTTCGCTTTGTTCTTCCAAATAGATTTTTAAGTCGGACCAAAGTGTAGCAAATGGTTTGATGGTGAATTTATATCAATTTCTCTCGATACGTAAATCACTCATACAACAGATCGCTGCATTAGAGAAATGTGCTTCGAATGAATTAAGAGAACTTCAGAATTCCAAAACCAGAGAAGTTTTAACGTCATTGTCGACAGGAACATCGTAATATTCATATTCAAGGTATTTTCTTTTACATCAGTTTGTACCTGTTGTTTAGATCGCTCATGCTGCCTATTATCAACAAATGTTGTATCTGTATGGATCGTCCTTCAAATTTCGCTCTATCATGCACGCATATATTTTGTAATGAATGCTTTCAAAAATGGTAGGTTCAACGACAATATCAGATGAAAATACTTTGCGAGTACTTCCCACTTTTCAGGTCGGCACAAGCAACTGATGCTACATCATCAACATGTCCACTATGTCGCGCAGATATCACCGATGATAGTGACTTTGTTCTTCTTGAAAAGCCGAAATATGATGAGGTCAAAAATACGATTACCAAATCGATTTTGCAGCTACCCACTGATTATGATACAATTTGATGTCATGAAAATCTAACCCACAAAAGCTGATTTATAATTTGTTGCTTTTTAAAAATCTTTTCACTTCGTTTGTAAACAAGATGAATATATTGCATAACAAGTCTAATCAGCCATTGGATGTTTGTGTTTTTTTTTTCATGAATGACGGAAGATTTGTTTACAAAAACAAAACTTCGAGCAACCAGTATGTCTTTGTGGGACTAGAGAAACCTTCAGAGCGTTGTACAGCTGTTACTCTTCGATAAGTTATCAATCTGCCATGATTCGTCATACAGAGTTAGCTATAATCAAAATATTCGATGTCTCTGGAACATCGAAGTGAGTATATCTAACAGATTCGCTGGTCACTTCAACACAAATATTCAACAGTTGCATAGATTCTCTTACTGAAGTTTCTGATGACAAGCATTAACTGTAAGTCCTTCTCAAAAACTGTACATTCTATTCTTTGATTTACTCAAATCCATTAGTTATTTAGTTTGAACTAGAAGAATGAAATAAGATTTCCTTTTCAATAATTATACTTGGCACATTTTATTACTCTTCTACTTAAGGGTATGGGTGTGGGTATGGGTGTATGGGTGTGGGTGGGTGTGGGTGTGGGCGCCCACACCCACACCAACACCCACACCCACCCACACCCACACCGACACCCACACTCACAGCCACCCACATCCACACCCACACCCCACACTCTCACCCAGCCACACCCACACCCCACACCATTACTTAGCACTTACATGGGTGCCTAAATAATCCTTATTCCCATATCGATTGTTGGCGACGAACATATATAAAAAGTAGGTGCATACTAACTTATTGATTGCTAACGGCGGTCTTTTTTCTTTTATTGACCTTTCTCAATCGTTTTGCTTGTATAAAAATTGTTCGCTTATCCTGTTTTCTATTTCTCCACAGCTGCACGAATACGAGTACATCATGTACTGGCATCTACTGACATATATTTGTACTCCCAAAAAACCTATAATTCTAGAATTTGTGTATTGGCATGTACTGACCTATGTATGTGCTCCGAAGAAACCTTGGATTCTAGAATTCAATTACTCGCATGTATCAGCATGTGTGCACATGTACTCGTATAACAACATATATATCCTGAAAAATCTAGAATTCATGTATTCGTGTACACTCACATGTATCGGCCATACGATTGTCTATATGAATTTTCAGGAAATCATCGAGATTCGGAAAACAAATGGGTGTCCTGGAAATCAAAATGAATTTCTGGAAATGGATACAAATTCACAAAAACAAAAAATGAAGTTTCGGAAGCAGGAATAAATTTCAATGAGCGCAAATGAATTTCCAGCAAATCTAATGACTCTCCGAAAGCCGTAAATACTTCCAAGAACAAAATGGCTTTCAGAAAAACATAGTGAATCTTCAGGAATTAAACCGACAATGGCTTCATAGCAATTTCCTTACCATGTTACTCACATTATTGATGTGAAGAATGAAAAAGCATACAGTACTTCTCAGAATGCGGGTGCACCAAAAGACGAACACATTCGGAAATACACATCAGCTCATATTTCTCTAACTGAGGGTGCTTCGAAAGTTGTGATTTTACATAAAAAACAGATTTCTTGCTGGATGAACTGCATAGAATTTGGATGAAAATCTTCGAGTTTCTCATTTGCCATTTATCCACCAACGAATCTATTTTTCATGTGGAATCACGATTTTCAAGCACCATCAGGAGAGAGATATGTGTTAATGTCTGTGTGATAAAAATTTCCGTGACACCCTCAATAAGAAAAAGACCTGCGAGTATATGTATAGTGATGCGAGATCTCGAAAAATCTTTGACAAATTTCTTCAAGAAGTGCAAAATCGTTTCAAAATAGGTTCTAACAATCGGAGAATATTTCCTGACAAATTATTTCAACACCAAGAGAAAATATCGCTGTGAAGAAAAAAATCGTCTGAATTGATATTTTTGAGTTGAATTTTTCGAGATTTCGCATCACTATGCACATACCCACACGTCTCTCTTATTGAGAATGCGACGGAAATCCATATTACACACACATCAGCACATATCTCTCTGCTGAAAGTGCTCGGAAATCGGAATTCTGCATAACAGACACATTCCTTACTGAATGAACTTAACCGAATTTGGATGAAAATCTTCAGTTTTCTGATTTGCGATTCATACAGTCAGCAATGTGTTTTACTTGCGGAATCACGATTTCCAAGCACCCTCAGCAGATAAATATGTGCTAATGTGAGTTATGAAGCTTTTCGTGGCACCGTCACCCCTATATAGATATGATTCATCATTCTTATAATAAGACAGCTATAATTTGAAGATGATATTTGAAAAGAAAAAAAAATATCACATCAAATTTCAAAAATCGTTTATTCCGTTTATATGTTTAAAACAATGAATATAGTTCTGCACTATTCAAAACTTCATAATTATCTTCGCCAATAATTAACACTTTTCCATTTGTTAATACGGATTCAGTATGTAGATTTCGTACATAATTCATGTTACCCGTCGTTGTCCAAGTTCCTGTTGATGAATCATACAACTCAGTAGTACTTAAAAGACCAAACACACTCTCCGCCACTAACTAACACTTTTCCATTTTTTAATACGGATGCTGTATGGTAGTCCCGCGGATAATTCATGCTACCAGTGGTTATCCAAGTTCCACTTGATAGATCATACAACTCATTACTATTTAAACGACGACCTTTACCGATTCCACCAGTAACTAGGACTTTCCCATTTGTTAATAAGAATACTGTGTGCCCATTTCGTGGAATATTCAGGTCACCAGTAGTTGTCCAAGTTCCTCTGGATGGATCATACAACTCAGTGCTCTTTAGATGACTTTTATCATCCATTCTACCGATAGCTAATACTTTTCCATTTCTTAATATTGATTCTGCATGCCACTGTCGTCCATACTTCATATGACCGGTAGTTGTCCACATTCTAGTGGACGGATCATACAGCTCAGTACTAGTTAGACGATCACAGAAGTCTTTTCCACTTGTTAATACGGATGCTATATGCCATTCTCGTACATAGTACATGCGACCAGTCGTTGTCCATCCTAGATACATATATTTGATTTGAAAGTAACACTTAGCAAGAATTAAACGAGTTAATCTGAGGCTTATGTGGTTGCTGAGCTGTAGTGATCGTCGGCATTCATTAAAAGAAAATATACATGTTAAACTCGAAAAGTGATTTCAACTATTCAATTTGGGTATTCAACTTTTAGGGTGAAGACGAGGCAAATGCAAAAAAATTTTTAAACTCGAATCGAATTATTCGCGATTTCCACACAACTGAGTCAAACCTGGGACGCTAAAATGGAAAACCACTATATGTTAAAAGTATGAAAAGGAAAAATTGATACCATTTACCTGAGAAGAACCAAAACGAAATAACGAATTATTTTTCTAATCATAGTTTGTGTTGAAATGAAACAATATCGTGTCAGTGTCTTTTCTCTTTATTTCTATCACATAGGTGGTATTTAATCTGCATCGGGCTAAAGGCTGGAAGTGCACATTTCGATGCTTCAATAAGTGGAAACTTGATACTGTTGCTGACACACTTTTATAATGATGATGCGAACAAATATAATTTTCATAGATGAAAAAAATGCGATCAATATGTTGTGTACACGTGACTCAAGGTTTTTATTATCATTCTGATGGATCGATCATACGTTTGTCTTTGATTGTTGAATCAGGCGCATAATAATAAATGAAAGAAGCGAGTTACAGTGCTTGAGAGAATAATTGGAAAAGAGATCTTAGTCTGGTTTTTTAATCTTTATTGAAATAAAATGGAAATAAAAGAAAAAGTTTTTTGTATGGGAAACATGTTGGTATAGGTATTTTCTATTTATGATCTGTGCTTTGGATGATCTCCTTAAATAAAAGAAAATGGTCAAATGAATACTTATCATCAGAAATTTCTCAATAAAGTTTTAATTGAAATGAGATGATCGGAAGAATGCTTATTCATTGTTCGATGATGTTTTCATCAAAATTAGCTCGATTGCCAAGCCATTTCTCACTTGATTAAAGACATTTCTATCCGATATGCATATAGAAAAGTTTTAACGATGTTAAACCTCAACTGACTCGAATCGCTTTTCTCAATAAGTTCTATCATTATTTTTTTTTCTAAGAATTGTAATTGAATTTTTCCACTCGTTTTCTACATCGAAATTAGTAGAAAGGATTCGTTTACATTGTTTTAATTGAATAAATAATATTTTATTGTGGAATGTCCATCTGTAATTTAATTTAAATGTCTATATTGATCGAAAATGAAATGATCTACTGTTCAAGGTCAGTTGAAAGATCATTTTTCGTATTTGTTCAGATAGATCTGTCGAAAAATTTGTTTGTAATGTTATCTAATGGAACAGTATGTGATTCCATTTCTGAACAAACAACGAAATTTGATAAGGAGAAATGGTGTTTTATCATTAGATTTGATTTCTATTCTATTGAAATTGATTATTTTCAAATGTTTTTTTGTGAAATAAGCCAATTCGTTTTCAATCTCTTCATTGACATGAAAAAAGAGAGAAGACATTCTTAACAGAATCAAGAAATCTTTTTCAATATTTCATCGAAAGTGATAATTAAATGTAGGGAATCAATTTTTGGTTAGACAATTTTTTTCTAAATTAGGTTAAGTTTGAATAACTAAACAAGAAATG